GCCCGCCCAGGGACCCTCTGCCGAGCTTGAAAATGCTTGCGATGAGAATTGTCATGCCTGTCTAAATCCTGCAGGTCGAAGGTTCCCAGTTCGCTCTGTGGCCCCGGATCCTGGATTACTTGGTAGAACCTAAGCCACCCAAGGAGCTTGTTACTATTGTTTTTGCAGTTGTTTTCTTAAAAGACTGGATCTCGCCACATAGTTCCCGACTGGCCTTGGGAACAAGTCTTACCTCTACCGTCTGCCACCACAGCCAGTTCCTAGTGGCCTATTCTTAATTACCGTGTTTATCATATGACTATTCTTGTCAGATAATTCCATAAAGGCAAGGACTTTGTTTAGACTCAGCGTCTGGCATTCATTTCTTCATTCAGGTAAATGTCAGACTTGGTGCTCACCACATGGCTGACACTGTTTCTGATCCACTGTAAACCAGACCAACACCCCATCTCAAGATGTTTGTAACATGAAAACAGAAGGAGGACTTTGGGGGAAGGAAGAGGACCAGTGAGAGGAGGGTAGGGGGAGGGAGCAGGGTAGTATAAGCCAGGGACAGTTATATACATATGCAAATATCATGTTTGAAATGAATGAAATGAAATCTATTATCTGATATGTTAAATTAAAAATGAATTCTAAGAAAGGTGCTTTTACTTTATTAGTGGAGACAATGAGATAATAGTAGACAACTGGGATACTAGCAAATAGAGGCCATTGCTAGAAGAAGTAAGCCATAGTAGGGTGTGATGGCACCAACCTGTAATCTCAACACTTGGGAAGAATCAAGATTTTGAGGCCAGAATGGCCTACTAGTGATTTTTGAAGTTAGCCTGGACTACATAGGCAAACCCTGTGAAAGAAAAAGGAGGGCAGGAAGATGAGGGAGGGAGGGAAGGAAGAGAAAGAAAAAGAAACTGAGAAGAAAATGAACACAGAATGGTAAGGGAAAGCAGGTGCGAGAGCCTTGGAGGAAGGCAAAGGTGTGCTCTCACTTTGAGGAGAGTACCCCAAAGTGAGCAAGGATGGAGAGCCTGAGGTGGCGTGAGGGGGCACTGAAAGATGTGCAGGGTTTTCCAGCCTCTGTACTGTTCGTATTCTGGGCCAGATAACTCATTGTCATGGATTCTGTGCCTCATTACTCGCATCTACCCACAATATGCCAGTAACACTTTTCCTTCTCAGTTATGATAACCAAAAATATCGCCAGACAACGAATTCCCGGATGGACCACCTTTGCAGTTTACCTATTTTTGCATTCACTTCCTGTTTGTATAGTGGGAATCATAAGTAACCGTTGCTTAAGACTATTGTGAGATAAGTAGAGCACTTTAAACTGTGCCTACTTTAAGCAAAGTAAGCATCCAATATCTGTTAGCATCATCATCTTCTTCCTCCAAGGCATTTGTCCCTTAGCTGTTGCTGTCACAGAAAAATGCAGTGGTTCTCGGCCTGTTGTGAGTTTTAATAAAACTTCTTAGCCCACTCCCTAAAAGATACCATATATGTGTATAAACAAATTTTTTTTTCTTAAGCCAAGTCTAGTTTTTCAGACTCTGAAGTCCAAGGACTCCCTTTACCCAAACAACTGCTTAGTGATTCCCTCTTCACTGAGTGTGCCAAGCTCTGTGCCAGCCTCAGAGAGTACAGGGGTGAACAAGATGAATACACTTTCTACTTTCTTAGTCTTCACAGTCTACAGCCAACATTCTAGAGCTTGTAAACTTCTGCCGTACAAGGGCTCTTCACTACCAGTTTACATTTAACTTCCAGATAGATTGAAGTAGAAATACAGAATTTATTTGTTTATTTGCTTACTAAACAACGTATGAACCGTTTATAGCCACATACCAAATAAAGTTATTGTGGAACATCTCTAAAGAAAAGAAACTATAACAGCACTAGGATTAGCAAGATACCCAATATGTTCAAGCAGCGAATCCCTGGGACCCACACCTGAAGTGACAGATGTGGGACACAACAAAGATGAAAATGCTTAGTGAATGAATGAACTCTCTTCCACAGAACTCGAAACTAGCCACAAAATTGATGGCCTTGAATTTGCCATTTCACTTACTTTTAGAAAAACCACTAGATTTTGTGACTTTACCATATACTAGATAATAGAACACGCATTTAACTCAAGTTCATGACCCGAGTGCTTCCTATAATCCATACTTTGTGGAAAGGAATAGAGATAGGAAGTGTTTCTTAAATTTGTAAGGGTTCGGTTTTATTTCATCTAGACAAATAGGAAAAGGAAGAATGATAATCTTACCTCATTTCCTAAGCAAACTATAGGAAATACACTGGTAAAAGAAACACCATCTCTATGATTGAATGCAGTATTACTTTCAGAATAGACGCTTTCATCTTATTCAAGCAGCACATGTGGGTAATAACATGTCCATTAAGTTCTAGTTCCTTTTTCATTTTATTTAGTTCATTCCATTGCATAGTTAATGTGATAACTTGAAAAGAATTTGTTGGACTTTTCTCCACAGATAGGCCATGTCTGGCCCAAGTGATGAGACTGCAGGAGACCTGCCTGTGAAAGATGTAGGTCTAAGCCTCTTTGGAGTTGGAGGGTTACAAGGTATGGCCACCTGTTATTTATTACTGTTATGAACTTTGATCAGCAATTTCTTTACTTTTAATTTAAAGTATTTCTGATAGTCATACAAATGCAACCATTTAAGTAACTATATAGCTCTTGATTGGACTAAACAAGATGGAGAGTTTAAAACACATATGGTATTTTACTGCATACATCAATTATCAACAGCTCATAGCAAATGCAAGATGTCCCTCTACTCTGATAAAAAGTTGTTATAAATCATCTTTTTGAAAATTCCACACATCAGTAGAAACTGCATAGAGTATCAGCCTCCAAACTGAATTGCCTGGCTTAAATCACATTCACCATTAAAACACTTCTTTATGTTTAAATTTTATATGAGAGGAAATGCCATATTTTAAATTTTTTGTCTCAAGTAGAGTATCTCAGAATGGCCTGTTTATGCCAGTGATAGTGACTTTTCTATCAAATTAATATACATTAAAGGTTTTTTTTTATCCTTTTATCGTTTAGTTGTTCTGTACAGCTAAAGAGTACTTTCAAATAGAAAAGCAAAGCACTGCTTTAAAGAACAACATAGACTGTAGAGCCAGGTGTATGTTTGTGGACAGTGTGCCAACTAAACCCTTATGCCACTAACTTTGCTAGTGGAAGACTAGTGGAAGGTTTAAAATGTATCCTGCTAAGGAATCTTCATTCACCTTTTAATCATAACACGTTAACAGCCAGAATTGACTACCTTAGAAAAGTAGTCAATGTACTGTTCATTGAAAACAAAATTGACCACACAAATTTTATTGTTAAAAGGAAAAGTGTATAGACTTTGTGGTAGATCATGGAGCAAGTATCAGGTATTCAAATACAAATACAGTGTGCAAAGTTGTTGGGTTTTGGTCAATAGCTGCTTTAGTATCTAATTGAAAATTGACATTCTTCAAAATGATACAGAAAATATAAAATTTAACTATAAAAATATATATACATATGTAGAAGGTATAAAAGTTATGTTCAAATATATTAAATAGGCTATAGAGAAATGATCTGTGGTGCTTTCAAATGACAGCTTTTTAATTTTAGGGAATTTGTTTTATCATTCATTTTCTATACTCTAACTCCTATCACCAGAAAAATTTCTTAATTATATTATTTTCACTAAACCATCCCAATTTTTACCTCTGCAAAAAAATACATGAGTAAATCTTTGCAGATACCATGGCTTTTTTGCTGCTTTGTTAGTGATTGAATGAAGGGCCTTGCACGTGCTAAGCAGGTGCCATATACCATTGATCTGCATTTCCAGACCAACTACCTTGACTTTTCCAACCCTGACATTTTACAGCATTCAGAATATAAACTGAGAAATCTGATGATCATTCCCATCATATATTCTGAAAAGATGGTTAAGTATATTTTAACGAATAAAGTTGTTGAAGTCAATAATACTGTGTCTAAAGTATTAATCACAGAAATGTTTAGTCTTACCTGTAATACTGACATGAACAATGCTATACCATTCTCTACAGGAAAAAAAAAAAAAAAACCTTAATTTTTAAGTCAAGAAGAAGGGCGAAAACTGGATGTGGTGGTGTATATCTATGATCCTAGCACTTGGAAAGTAGAAGCAGGAAGATCAGGGGTTTAGGATCATCCTTAACTACATAGCAAGTTCGAGGCTAGCATGGGCTACATAAGACCCTATTACACAAAACCAAAAAAAAAAGGGGAAGATATGAATGCATCAGAGATTATTTTAATATAAATAGTTACCACTTTTAGAGATTAAGTAATCCTACAATCAATTACCTTCATTTTTTTTTTTTTTTTCAGAAACCTCAATTGCACGGACCATGAAGCCTCGCCAGGCAGTGTCACGTGTCAGTCATGAGGAACTGGAAGACAGATTTTTGCGTTTGCACGATGAGAACACTTTACTTAAACAGCATGCCCGCAAGCAAGAGGATAAAATTAAAAGGTTATGATAAAAAGCTTTTAGCTTTTTTTCTTGACTCTGTAAAGTTTGGAGGATATAATTTTTTATAAACTTAATTGAAAGCCCTACCTTCAATGTTTTCTGGAATAGGCAAGTTATAAATAAATAGAATTTTTAAAAATGGAAAATTTTACAAAGTAGAATAATAAACCCAAAAGATTGTGTTTATGGTGTCTGAAGTTGCCATTTGAAAGAACAGAGCTAATAGCTAAGAATATTGTGTGTGTATTATATCTATAAATAACTTTTGTTTTAATATTTATAGTTTAATAAGCAGATAGCCCACCATCTGTTTTTTTAAATGTCATTTTAAAATGAAAGTTTTTAGATGTAATTAAGTATTCCAACTTGTTAGGATGCATGTTTCTTTAAGATTTGTGATTTACTAATGAAAACATCACTTCAGTGTCTGGAACGTATTTAACTTTGCTTGGCTTAGTCTTGATTCTATATTTATTTCAAAGGGTCTCTACCATTTCTGAAAAAAAGCACATTGTCACTTTTGATTTATGTGTGAAAAATTTATGCAGGAATGATGTCTTAAGAGTAGTTACTCTTTAATTCTTTCTTACTCAGAAATACTGTGCTGTCTTCTGAATACACAGCATTAGAAACAGATCAGTTCACAGTGGTCATCATGAGTCCCTCTGCATTCCTATGATGTTCTGTGTTCATAGAAGAGATAAAACAGCCACAGAAGAGAGAGGATGAAGCTTTTCCCGCTTAGAATTTATCCTAAGGAAGCGATTCCAGTTCACTTTCTACTTTGTGGACTTTGTTTACAAACCCCAACCAACTGAGCACAGGCCTTTTAACTTTGGCCTTTTTTGAGACAGGTTCTCCCTGTAGCCTATAGCCACAGCCACTCAGACTGCTTGAATCTCACAGAGATCCATCTGCCTCTGCCTCCTGAGTGCAGGGATTAAAGGCAGGCCCCACCATGCACACCCATGTCACACCCATGTCAGCCAGCCAGAATAAGACATGAAGTCTGTGGCCACTAAACAATTTCTTTTTCTTTATAAGCATAATTGGTCAGTAAAAGAATTGAATGCACAGCCTTGACCTCATTAATAATTTGTTCTAGCCAGAAAATTTTAAAAATTTTAAAAAACTTAATACTGAGCCATGTCATTTAATGAGAAAAGGACTGGGCTAGGAGTCAAGCTGTATGTATGTGTTTTATTACCTCTCTCCCACTAGCCTATGGTATGTTCAAGCCATTTAATCTCCTGAGGTTTTGTTTTACTAAGTCCTGAGAATACTGACCCATTGAACACTTTGACCCGAAGCTCTAAATTCCTTCTCATCTTTCCACTGACAGAGACCTAGATCCATGGATAGCCTGACATTAAATTTATCCTTTCTTTTGTGTAAATCTGAATTTTTTAAGTAAGTACTCAAACCTTACCGTATGACTTAAAATTCATTAATACACTGATTAAACAAATGAAAAAGTATCTGTTACTAAACAAGCGCATACAATCTTGTGTTTCCTGACACAGTTTATTTGAACATCATTGAAAGAACTTGAAGACACTCTATTGATAGCCTTCTCTTGCCTTAAAAATCATTTATCATTCTTCAAATAATGACTACTTTTTCATATTTAATCTGTACCTTTCTTTTGAATGTAATCTATATTGCTGAGTGCCATTTCCCTTAATAAGTATTCAAGTATTGGCTGGAGAGATGGCTCAGTGGTTAAGAACACTGGCTGTTCTTGCAGAAGACCCGGGTTCGAATCCCAGCACCCACATGGCAGCTAACAACTGTCCGTAACTCCACATGGCAGCCAACAGCTGTCCGTAACTCCAGTTCCAGGGGATCCGACAGCCTCTTCTGTCCTCTGCGGGCATTGCTTACATACATGTGGGTA